AACTGGACAGATGGTTGTTGTGGGTTTTTCGGGCTCTTTGGCCATTTTCTGAAGGTTGTTCTTCCTGATGTTTCGCCAGTCTCTGTGGCTGGCATCTTCAGAGGACTGGAGTAGGAACTCTGTCCATGCTCTGAACACGGCCAAAGAACCCGAAAATAACCCACAACAACCATCAGATGATCCCGGCCGTGAAAGCCTTTGAGAATACATCAAAATGGACAGTTTGCTTTGGACGCAGCAGCGATTTCCCTGTGAACTGTTGGGCTTGATTAGATAGAGAGCTCTAATCAAGCCTGACTGTTCCAAAGCAGCTCATACTGACTCCCTCCCTGCTGCTAATGTAGCTGCATGCTTAGTCAATACTTGCTATAAAGCATAAAACAGCAGCACAAAGCACACCACAGGTCAGTGTTTGAGACATGTCAATTGAGTTATACTCAAGGACACTCCATAATTATAAAGATAACCAAAATATTCAGTTATGTTGCAAAAATGATGAAGTTATTCTTGCATATGTTACAACTGCAGTGTGCTGAAGTTACTGGGAAAAGGAAGCAGATAGTCTCGTTATTTGTAACTAGTTGCTTCCAAACTCTTGTAGGTCCTGGATAGTCAAGGGAATGGCCTGGTCAGAGCTAGAGCAGGGAGAATTAAAAACAAACAGGGATCAGGACAGATTGGTCAGAAACAGAACTAAGATATGGTTATGTTTGGAGCCTCTAATGAATACAGTTTTACTGCTGGAAGATAATGAGGCAAATTCTGCCTGGTGATCATTAAAAACTGAATAAACAGAATGAGTCCAGTACCAAAGATATTTGCCTCCATCTGTTTACATCAGGAAGAGGCACTTTGGGTAAGTCGAGGGGTGAATTTTCTGTATCCAGAAGGTTTTGGAGAATACACAGTCTGTCAAAAATGCAGAGAGAGTGCAAGCAAAATAGACCAAAAAAAAGAACACTTTTTGTTTTTTAAAAAATACTGTAATACATTTTAGGGTGCCTAAATAGTACAAGGAGTCTCTGTGAGCTATTTAAAAGGCAAATGTTTGGAGACTTCCAAAGGTTGAAATTTGCTTCTTTCTTTGCTGGGAAAGGAAGGGGCAGAGGAAAGCTGGAGGCTATAAAGACAACTTTGGGGAGCTCTGTGCAAGGGACGTGGTGGCGCTGCAGGCTAAACTGCAGAAACCTGTGCTGCAGGGTCAGAAGACCAAGCAGTCGTAAGATCGAATCCATGCGACGGAGTGAGTGCCCGTCACTTGTCCCAGCTCCCGCCAACCTAGCGGTTCGAAAGCATGCAAATGTGAGTAGATAAATAGGGACCACCTCGGTGGGAAGGTAACAGCGTTCCGTGTCTAAGTCGCACTGGCCATGTGACCACGGAAGATTGTCTTCGAACAAAACGCTGGCTCTATGGCTTGGAAACGGGGATGAGCACCGCCCCCTAGAGTCGAACACGACTGGACAAAAATTGTCAAGGGGAACCTTTACCTTTATGTGCAATACAAAGCCACAGATTACATACCCCTGGTTTTTATTTCCAAATTAGCACCCAATTCTTGAATCTGGCATATGAGTAATAACCGTACAGACCCACACGTAGTCAGTGCGGCTCAGTATGGGTCTTTCCTTTAGTATGTTTGTTCTCTGTTGTTGGGGTTTTTTTCCCAGCTCAACATGACGCAGGAGCCAGCCAGCCTTACAACCACTCCAGCAGTCAGTGTAATTTTCCTGTGGCCTACATATTCTCCAAAGGCCTATTACATTTTTGGTATAAAGATGCAGCTATTCTGCCTGGCTGAAGAAATGGGAAGAGATGAAAACTGGCAAAGCTACATCAGAAGTGGCTCCCAGTGCAATATTTTGTATTGAACAAAGACATCAAGTCTCCCTTTCTGCTGCTGCAAGAATTTTTTTAAAAAATGTATGTAAGCAAAGGTATCGTTCCCCTCAAAAAATTCAAAAGCCGCAGTAATGCCTTTTGTCATAGACAGTTTGTGTTCAGTCATACAAATATGAAGTGGCAGGTCTGAGACTTTCCAGAAAGCAGTGTAGCATATATAAGCAAAAAATAAGAATTTATCACCTACAGCTATGGCAATACAGTAATATGAAGAAGAATGCTGGTGTTATTTGAAAAGCTTATGTATGTACATGCATGGAAAGGATATTTGGGATGCTGGGTGAAAATGCTGAACTGTTAACTCAAAGGATTAAAAATAGTGACACTTTAAACTCAAAGTGTAACGGGCCATGGAAAAACTTTCATTAGAGCGATCCATCTTATGTTCTTCTTTCCTGACAGTCATGAGTGCAAAAGTAGTCATTATGGCTGCAATAAGAAGCTCCAAAAGATGACTTTAAACAGAGCCGAGATCGCAATAGGATAATCATGAAAGTATTTCTGAATGTATTATTCCTAATGGCAACATATGACATAGAACAACATGTACTACAACTTCTCTGACTTTACTGAAAATGCTGTAACTTCCATTCTGGACTATCCGGAGCGCTGGCTGAAAAGCCTAGTGGTTTAAAACATGGGCTGAGTTTCTGGTCCAACTCTCTGCTGAGCAGTAAACTCACCGGGTGGCTTTATGGAAACGTTTAGCCCAGTCTCATCAGCCTCTGACCATCAGTTATAGTGGGATGATGATATCAGGATGACAATATGGTAATGTTTACTCAGACACAGACACTGGCCCAAATCCTGTTGCTTACTGTGACGGAAAAGCATGGGAGACCATGTCACAATTGCCGTTGTGAATACTCTTCTCTATAGCTGCTCCACCACACTCATCCCGCTGATCCTGAAATGGGAGAACTCAGGGCAAGCAGATGCAGGGAGATGTTATGAGTCCTGACTGAGAACATCTGAATCCCAACACCTTCTCCAGTCCACTTGACTGGATGTGTTCTAATTTAGGGAGCTTAACATAAAGCAAAGATGTCCAAGCTTGGCACTGAAAGAGCTACTGTGCCATGCTTGTTAGTTAGACTGCCACCATTCCCACAGAAACATTAAAAACTCAGTAGCGTGATTAAGGCTAGGACTGGATGTTAGTACAAAAATTTAAGACTAGAGCTGGGATATTCGTATTTGTTAACAAATACACATATCCCTGCCCCAGGTGGCCCAAATCCCCAGGCCCACCTCCCAGAACTGACCCGCACCATTCCCATAGAAATATTAAAAGCTCAGTAGCGTGGTTAAGGCTAGGACTGGATGTTAGTACCACAATCCCTCTCAGCCAAAAATTTAAGACTAGAGATGGGATATTCATATTTGTTAAGAAATACAAATATCCCTGCCTCAGGTGGCCGAAATCCCCAGGCCCAGCTCCCAGAACTGACCCATCTGCTTATGGGTCACAGCGCTGTGCGCCTCCAACAGGAGTTACAGTGGACCCTTGACTTACAGAACTGTGCGCAGAGCCGGCGTTCTGCTCATCAGTCCAATCTCCAAAAAAGCTTGGCTGCTGCGTCTCCACCTCCAACAGGAGTTATATTGACTAGGAGTTTCTGAGGCCAAAATGAGACAGGATTTCAAAGCGTTTTGGAGGTCCTTAAACGGAAAATAGAAATAAAAATGAAAATGATAAAACAACGCTCCATCTATGTTTATTTAGCAGTTACAGCACTCCTTTCAATGCACTGTAGGTCAATGGAGACTTGACTTACAGACTTTTTGACTTGAGAACCGCCTTCCAATATGGATTAAGTTCTCAAGTCAAGACCCCACTGTATATTGACTAGGAGTTTCTGAGGCCAAAATGAGACAGGATTTCAAAGCGTTTTGGAGGTCCGTAAACGAAAAATAGAAATAAAAATGTCTATGTTTATTTAGCAGTTACAGCACTCCCTTCCTCTAGAATTCCATGAAAAATTTGAGCTTCGAACTTTAGCAGAGGCTTTGCAGCATACAAAAAAAGATAATCCATGCACATGCATTTGAAGAAGCTGGTCATATATATAAACTATTAAATGAAATATTAAGGGCTCTGAGTAAAAGGGAAATGCATGAAATCAAGAACGGATCCTGATAATTTAATATGGGTTTGTGTGTGTGTGTGAGAGAGATTCTAGCCAAATCACAGATACTATCGCTGTTCACAGACTACAACACAGATATCATGGATCCTTCAACGCAGTGGTAGAAAATTCCTGCTACTAGTTCTTACAAGAGAGAAGGAAACAATTGATCCCCTAGATGTATTATATCTATTTTCTAACAAAACTGTATCATACGGAGTTCATGATTTAAAATACAGCCTTTCCCTTTGAAAATGGCAGTTTCTGTGTTTAGTCGATTAAACCGGGCTTTAAAAAAAACACATCTTGGTGCGGTTCCCTCCCAGACTCTCCCGAGGCCATAGAGATAGCAAACGCACAAGGCTTTCCGGAGTCCCTGCGAAGTGCTAGAACGGACTTATTTGGTAGGAAACGACAGCAGGTGAAGGTCGTCTCTTTGGTGCCCTCCCTCGGAGAATGAACGAAAAAAAAACACCAAGGAGACTACGAGTCCCACAATGCTTCCGGCTGAGCTGGGGGCGGAGTAGATTTCTCGTTGCTGACTTTTCCTTCCGTAATTGGTCCTCGCTGTGAGAGTCGTTTAAACTCACCAATGAGAAGGCCGCGGGGGACGGAACGGCCATTTCAAATATGAGAGCCGGGAGGGGGTAGGAAGCAGGTCGGTTTTATTCCTTGCTGAGGTGAGTGTAGGGGGCTGAATGGCAATGAGGGGCTCTGTTTGGGGCAGTGAACGGCGTATCTGTCTCGGGGTGGTGGTGGACGTCGGTATCACCGGCAAACGGGAAGACAGGCAAAGCGTATCTCTTGAGTGACAGCCGTCCATGAGGGATTCCCGCGTGGTCTGGCGATGAGGTTCGGGGTGATGTGGTTGCGCGAGGGGCTCCGTTTGGGGCAGTGAACGGTGTATCTGTCTCGGGGTGGTGGTGGTGGACGTCGGTATCACCGGCAAACGGGAAGACAGGCAAAGCGTATCTCTTGAGTGACAGCCGTCCATGAGGGATTCCCGCGTGGTCTGGCGATGAGGTTCGGGGTGATGTGGTTGCGCGGAAGAGAGTTATCTTTTGCAGGGACCTGCTGTAGTTCCTTCATACTAGAAGGTTAGCCGGGTTTTATAAAACATAAGGGATGGTACCTGTCTGGAAGTTATGCCCTTTGAACCAGCGTTTCACCCAGAAAAAGGTGTACTCTCTTATGTACACTCTGCATATGCTCAGAAGATGCCTTGATATACTGTATATATATACTGTATAGGCATATATAGAATGACATCGTGGCTTAGGCTCACAAACATAAACTGTCCCAAACAAATTGACTGAAAAGATAACTGGTCATAGGAAACTCCCCCCCCCCCCAAATAGAATTGCTTACTGTCTTGCCACGGC